GGGATGTATTTTGTAAGTAGTCGGCGGCGCGGACAGGAAATGACCCCTCCAGAAACTGCTGCTTTAAAACCGAGCGGCGGTGCCTGAAGCTCTCCAGCCTCCCTCCCGCTCCCGCTCCCGCTCGGGGGGAGCTCCCACAGCAGTCCCCAGCCAGTGCGCGCAGCCTGGATGTGTGTGTGTGTGTGCGCGCCGCTACTTTGTACTGTGAAGAACACACAGCCCATGTGCTCTGTATGGATGTTGATGATACTCTGTGTAGCTTGAATCTCTCTGCAAGCAGGCAAGATGTCCAGCACACCACATGACCCTTTCTATTCTTCTCCTTTTGGCCCATTTTATAGGAGACACACACCATACATGGTGCAACCAGAGTACCGAATATATGAAATGAACAAGAGGCTGCAGTCGCGGACGGAGGTAAGTCCCCCCAGCCTTGTTTTCCTGTGCATGGACCGTGGTAGGTTTCAGCCCGAATTCCAGCTGAAGCGTCCCACTAGACAGTACAGTATATGCAGGCATGAACCCTAATTAATTTAGTAGTTTAATTGGGTAATCCCTCATTATGTCTCCACGCAGAGCAACTCTTTGAGGAGATACCAGCTTAGGCTGAAATCATGAAATTACAGTACAGCACTTCAGGATTGATTATAACGCTGGTCTCAGGGAATTTCTTTGCCTTAGTGTGTTGTTTGCTCAGGATCTGTCCTGCTGGCATTTGCAGCTATAATTTTGCAAGGTATCGCTTCAGCTTTTGTGCAGAATTAATTCTGAAATGTTGCAGCTTTAGGGGGAAGAGATAATAATTTCTCCGGTTTTGTTTTGTGAACTCATTAAAATTAAAAATGAATGATAACAGGAAACAGGAGCAGAGTTTAAAAAACTTATTCCTAGACTACTCTTAAAGAACACATGTTCAGGACGACCGTCAAGAGAAATTTGTGTTTACTTTTAGAATGCTGTTGCTTTTAGCAAAAGGGATGATCGGTTTGCTACTTTATCATACAGCTGTCAAAAGTACCCAATAATGTAAACTACATTCACTGTTGGTTATGCTTTGTATAATCTGTTAGTGGTTTATACACCCTGGCTTTGAAATCCAGATCAGCCACCACAAAGAATATACTGAATGGAAGGGAGAAATACTTTTGTCACTTAAAGAAAAAAAAGTGGAAGCTGCATCTTGTTGTTTACATGGTTAAATAAAGCATACTTTTTAGTCTATTGAAGTGAAAAGTGTGTGGACTGAATCAGGCTGCATTTCTGCCCATGTGTCTGTGTTTGTGCCCTAAACATTCTTGGTGCTGCAATTTTTTGTAGTAGTTTATTAGTGGTGCCCTGAAAAGACTTTTTAAAAGTATTAATCTTTTATAGTGAATGGCTTTATATAGTGGCAACTATCTGCCAGATTCCTGCCATGAAACATGGTAAAGGATCTCAGGCTGATCTGTTTGTTATATTGTGATTCTTTAAGATAACATGAGGTTATCATAAAATAAAACACACATGCCTGAATTGTCAGCTAAGCCATGGAGAATCTGTGACGTTTAATGTATATGATACAGCTAACGAGATGTGACCTGCTTTCTGATTGGGTACTGCCACGGGGTAACTGCTTTTCTATTACTGTTACCACTGCAAGACTTAAAACATTGCTGGGGAGTAATTGGTAATACACTTTGTGCTGGCTGAAAACTCCAAGCAGCAATTTGCTCCCCAAATCACAGCAACTGTTTGTCAGTTTTGCCCCAAGTTGTTGGTTGCAGAGGGTCACTGCCATTTAAACAGAACGAGGGGGTTTGCAGGGTTTGTTTGCTAATGTTCATTTGTCAGTGTCTTGCAACTTTGTTCCTTGCATTCCTGTACATATTCACGTTTTAATTTCTAGACTTTTTCAAGTGAACAGAACAAGTATGTATCACTGAGTGGTTTCTTCAGAGTTTTATATACAAGCTGCTCTAAAAGCTCTCAGTGCTAATTTAGCCTTTTTACATATTATTTTATTGGTATTTTCATAATTGACCAGTTTCTGTTTGTAGCTCCTGTACAAATGTTACACTTGAAAAGTTTTCAAGGGACTTGCGAAACAACTTTCCCCTCCTTTGTTGCTGAGGTGTTTGGAGTTAGACTTCAGCGCATTTAATTGCAGTTTATGCTATGCACATTCAGATGGATTGTTGTGGGCAAAAAGCAATAACCTACTCTTCCTTACTAGGACAGCCATAGGTTTCATCAGCATTTTACTTTGACAGACAGTGTTTAGTTAATGAAGGCCTTATGCTCCAGCATTTCTTTTATTTTGCTTTGATTGTTCAGTGTTTACATTCTGGTTCTCTGTTTTTCTAATTTCTGAGCTCTGTGCTGTAAACATTGTTACTCGTTGAAATGTGTTTTCTAGCTAAGTTCAGTTCATCTCATTCATCCTTCTATTAAAACACCTTCCTTAATAAAAAAAAAATTCGACTAGTTTCCTGGGACACTTAGAGTGACTAGGTGTGGACAGCCTGTAAGGAATCATGCTGGCTTCTTGGGCAGGTCGGGAGTGGAAGTTTCACATTAATTTTATGCACTTCTAAGCATGTTTGGGATTGGTAGTTGAAGGCTTCTGGAGCATGTATAACTAGCTCTGAATTTTTTGAATCCAGAGCCCTGTGTGTCATGGAAGGAATGTGCTTGTGCTGTGGGTGATAGAGGCTTACTGCATGAACGTTTCTCTTCAGGCAGTCTTTGGAATAATGTAGGCACTGGTCTCTGAAGGAGGTTACTTGTGCTCTGCGAGCCCCAGGGGGTAGGTGAGCACAGGCAAAGCAGCTTAAGGGGAAAGGAATTACAAAGAAACTCTCCAAAAGACTGGGGGTAGCAAGCTGGCAGATTCCACGTGGACCCAACTTGTGCACAGAGCCACTGGCAAGTGAGGATGCATTAAAAAATGGGAAACTACAGCTGTTATCCCAAATACATCCATGGAAGACCTTTGAGATTTTCCTGGTTCCCTACAAAATAAAAATGTTCTTAATAATCCTTTAGGGTCAGAGTCTCTACTGTTGCTTGCAGTGGTGGAAGTTCAAGGGAGAGCAAACCCTACATAATTTAATAAAGTTGTACAGAAGGTATATGGAGAGCCTATGGAAGGAGTATCTGTATATAATATCTATCTCTTTTCTCCCCTCCATCTGCTTGCCTTTGTAGTGAATTCTGTAGCAGCTCTCCAGAGCTTGCAGGTAGGTGAGAAATGATTCAAAATAAAAAAAGCAATGGGCTAGTAGAAACACCATTGGACAATCCACCAGTAAATGCCATTTCTAGTCCTGCTCCCCAACATCGGGGTGGATGGTATGTTGGAGGAGGTAGAAGGGTCCCCAAAATGACTCTGTGCTTAGGGACCTTTCCTGAGAAATTCACTGCTTCCACTCTGGTTTCTGTCAGCATTGGGTGGAAGGGAATAACAGTCAGTGTGAAGGATGTGCTCAGTGTATTAAGCAGATGAAGTACAGAGCGATAAAGAAAGGTCATTTAGATGCAGCATGGCTATCTTTGTTGTTCTTGTTTTCTTTACAAAGAAATGGAAGTCATGAAAGTAAAGAATTAGCAGCTTTAGCCTGTGCTAGATGTGCAAACTTTTGCTCTCCAAACTTCTTACAACTTTATGGGCTCCTCAGGCAGAACCTCCAACTGCCTTTTTAAATTCAGGGTCAGTCTTAGGCGAAGAATTCCAATCACACCCAGGCAGGGGGTGGTTTTATGATGTAAGTACTGGCTAAAGTCCACCACCTAGCTAATTCTTATGTGATCTAAAGTAAATTAGGGAGCCTGAGTTACTAAGTAGTGTACAGGAACACCTTACCTTCCTTAAGAGTTGGTAAAAGAAATCTAATGTGGTAATACTTTTTTCTAAATTAATACATGCTTTCGTAATAATACTTTGGGAGCATCTAGTGCCATTTTGTAATGCATTAACAATCTCCATTTAAAGAAGGAAAATGAATATTTAAATGTTTAATAGTCTCTGTCAGATATAAAGATAAATCTTGCTTATTTCTATCATAGTTGATTAACTTTCTGGTTAACCAAAATGCAGCTGTTTCCTTGCTTTGTGTGTGGTTTTAAGGCTTTCATTACCATTTGCTCAAGCTCAGTTTATCTTAAGATTTTTATATCTGTGTAAGTTTAGCATTTCAGGAAAGCAATACTGTTGTGGCATAATCAGCAGTTTCTGAGGTTCTAGGTAGCAGTACACAGCATAAGTAAATTAGCTTAAATGTTTTCTCTGTTTCTCCTAAAACCTGATGTTTAAAAAAAAGCCTCTTTTCCTCTTTGATGTTCTAAATCCTTTTCTGTTCTAATTTTTAATCATTTGAAATTGCTCGCACTTAAAAGAAAACAAAAGGTGATTATATCTTGTATATAATTATTCAGGAACATTACAGTGTGCTGTGGATAGATCACTTAAAGTTGCTGACAGTTTAAAGTTTGAGGCATTGCTTTATTGTCAGTAATCAAAGAAGTGTATCAAACCTTTCGCTTGTTTATTTAGTCCTTTGTATTGTTGGAACTTTTGTGTATCGCAATATATTACATTCACCTGTATCTCTGTCACTACAAGAGATTATGCTTTACATCACCATTATATGCAAAACACAGCTTTCCTTCTGGCTAAGAGAGCAGTGTTTTAAGGGTGACTATAGAGCTTGATTAGTAGCATATTTGGTTTTGAAGACAATCAGCTTAATCAAATGATATTAAACTCCTATTAAACTGTATAGTGAATTTAACAAAGTAGAGATTTCATGATGGAAGAAAATGTAAAGAAAACGAAAAGGAAATAAAGGAGGATGTTATGATTATTTAAAAGCTACTAAATGGACTGGAAGCTTACACAGACATTCATATGCAACAAAATATTGAAAGCAAATCAAAGCAAAACAAATTTTCTTCAGTTTAATGAAAGTTTCTTATTTTACTTCTTCACATTGCTATCTGATGAAATAATCTTCTTCTTCCTGATGCATTTTTAATAGATTAGTCATAAAAATCTATGTTGTGACATCACATTGGTTCACATAGCAACTTAGTATCACAAACAGATCTCTCACATTGTGTACATAAGTCTGAGTTTGTCCAATGAGTTTGTTTTGTTGAGGAGAAAACACATAAACTTCTGTCTCAAAGTATTTTTGAGGAAATATTCTTTCACCCACAAATATACTAATACTTAGCAATTCTAGGAACATGAGTGAAGTATTTTGAAAGAGTACTTATGAACCATGCTTTGCTGAAACTTAAAGGTCAGTTTTAAAAGAAAACCCCTGAATGCCTTTAGGCAGACACTGACTTCAGAATGGATTCAAGGCTCTTTTTACTGATTGCCTTTTATTTCATATAGTTTTTTCATCCCCTAAAAAAATTTCAGTTGCAGCTGT